ACCGGGGGAAACCCCGTGACGCCCTCGGACGCACACAACCGGGGGAAACCCCCTGACGCCCTCGGACGCACGCACCGGGGGAAACCCCGAGACGCGCAGCCCCCGCCTCGCCAAGGCACGTACCTTTCGGGCATTTCTTGCATTGTTGCAGGGATGAGTACATCTGTGAGAACCTTAGAGACAGCAAAAACAGTTACCGTGAGCCCTTGCCAAGGAGGGGCTGGCACGCTACGTGCTCCTTACTTTTTCTCGGCTTCCTGGAGAACACGTCGTCTGCAGCGCGACGACCACGCGCCGTCTCTCAGCGCGCGCACGAGCAGCGCGTGGCCGTCCATGGCTGCCCACGGCACTGCTCGTGCTGACCGCCAGCCGCCACGGGCCTGCCGCGTGGTGCTCACCCGCACGGCCACAGGCCCACAGCGGGGCACTCGGCAAGGAGGACGTAGGCCTTGCCCGAAGCGCACGTGGTTCTCCACGCCTCCCCTGCCGCACTGTGAGAAAGAAACGCTAGACCACTTAAAGACGCCGAAACCCATAGGGAGGAAGCAGTGGTGCACCCCGGTACCCCAGGACGTGGGAGGCTGAGGCAGGAGACTCTCTTTGCACTCAGGCCAGCATGGACTACACAGAGAGACCTTGTCTCAAAAGCAAACAAACAGGGCCTGGAGATGGCTCAGTGGAATGAGCGCTTCCCTGGCAAGTGCAAGGGCCTGAGTTCAATCCCCAGGTCCGAAAAAAAAAAAAAAAAAAAAAGCCTCAAAGATACTTAAACCCAGAACTTTGTACCAGATTAAAAAACAAACAAAAATAGATCTGGGTTCCCAAGGTCTGTGGCAGGCGTGGCCGTGTACCAGATCTTTCCTCGCGTTAACTGTGTGTATCTGTAGTGTACATAACGACTGCATCATCGTGGGAAGTCGGCCCACGTACACTGCTCACCTTCATTCATTCTTTGCCCTTTCTCCCTGCTTTTCCCTGGCTCTTGCACCTCTTCCTATTGGTGAAGACCCGTCTCCCTGCTCCCTATTGGCTATATCTTGCTCTTTCATTTACTTGTGCTTTGGGATTATCACATGAGAGAAACCATGTGACAGTCAAACTGTATGTCGACTCAGGGTGCATTTCCTTGCAAGTGGTTCAAGTTTATCCTTTTTGGGACAGAGTGGTACTTCTCTGTGAACAGACACCACACTATTTTATCCATTGATCTGTTGACAAACATAAAGGCTGCCTCCAGGGTTTAGCTAGGAAGAGTTGTGTGGCTGTAAACGCAGGTGGCTTCACTGTGGCGTGAGGTCTGAGAAGTGAGCTCCATGCCCCTAACCATGGTTGCCTCTTCAAGCATTAACTGATCAGTTAGGGAAAGTGGACCTATTTATTTCCAAATAATTGCATTCGTGTTCACTCCAGAGCGCTCAGACTATCCTTTCTGTCATTTATCCTTTTCCAACCTAAGCTACAGGGAACAACGGCCCCGACATGAATTCTTCCCTTGCTGGGATGGGGAAAACCAAGCAGAGGAAAGGTCTCCAGCTGCCCCGTGACGCAGGCCAGGGTGGCTTTTCCTAGTCTCCCCAGCCTCCCCTGGGGAGCCTACCAAGGTCCTGCTGTACTTGCCTGCAGAGTTGGGAATCTGATAGGAATGATTTTCACAGGCCTGGGTTTTTCTTGTAAACTCAGATTATTCCTTAAAAGGTATGCTTTTCTTTTCATTTGTGACAATTTGGCAGGTAGAAATGGGATGGCTGCTGGGAATGGAACTCAAGGATGCTCTACCACTGAGCTGCATCCCAGGCCTTTTTAAAAATTATTTTTTATTTTGAGTTCTTCCTAACTTACTCTTAAACTTGCCTTAATCTTGCAATCTTCTGGCCTCAGCTTCCTGAGTAGCTGGGATTACAAGGTAATCTCTTTAAAACGCCCAGACTGCAATGTAGTTTCTTCTGCTGAGAGTTCATTACTGCTCAGACAGGGCCCAGACTGTCCCCTACCAGTGAATGGCTGGTAGAAAGCCAACCACCTCGTCTCTCCCCAGGATGTCCTCAGGGTCAGCATGAACACATGTGTGCAGTCTTGTCTGGCTTAAGAACCAAACTATTCTAAAGGTAGGGTTTGCAAGCCTTAAATCCTGGAAAGAGGTTTCATTTCTGCTTTCCCTTAAAATGCAGATCCTGTGAAACAGCCATTCTGCCATTTTAATCTGAAAACACCTTAGAGAGGTAATGAAATTAATTGTTTTCACACATTAGTAATCATGTCACCTTTAGGATCACTCTAGCTATAAATACAGTTCTACTTGACAAATACTTAATTATTAAAATATATTCATCCTTAAACTTGCACTAAGTTGTTTTGTCATACTAAAACCAGTGCATCTCCCCCAGAAATAGCAGATTTGTAGTACACAGGTTTCAGGAGTTTAAGTAAAATCCTATTTAGAGAAACAGATGGCTCATGGTGAAGAGCCCTAGAGAGCTTACCTTATAGAGGATGGAGTCACAGACACAGAAAATGTCAATGATCACAGGATTTTCAAGGAGGGGAAGGAGATGGTCAGGCATTCCTTGCCAGAAGTGCAGTAAGAAATGCTGGATCTGGGCATGGGATGAGAGCATACAGGGTGGGACTCCTGCGCTGTGACCTTTTAGTCCTGGGCAGGTCTGCATGTACAACCCTTACCTCCTCGAAGTTCCCATTGATTGCATTGTCCAGGACACACTGACAGTGAGTTTTGTACATCATTATGAGGGTGTCAACCTAGTTCAAGGAAGAAAAGACTTAACCAAAGGATCCTTCACATCAGCTCATCCATCCACACGTGTACGCTCCTGCTGGGTCCCAGCCAGCATGTCCAGTGCTGAGGATCACCAGGGCAAGGCGCCATGTCAAGGAGCTGACTGATTTGTGAATGCAGAAAGTCAGGTAAACTGTGGATACAACATGATCTGTCAGAACAACAAGTGCTCGCTTCAGCAGCACATATACTTAAAAAAAAAATGGCTGGGGAGATGGCTCAGTGGAATAAGCACTTCCCTGGCAAGTGCAAGGGCCTGAGTTCAATTCCCAGTTTTTTTTGGGGGGAGCGCTTCCCTGTCAGCACAATGGGACAGGCAGCTGCAGCAGCAGTGTCGTGCAGTACCCTAATTTTCTACCTATTAAAGGTCTAGAGGTGAGAATGCCACCTGCCTAGCGCTCAAGGGCTTGCAGGAGAGCTGCTCTGCAGATCAGGGCTGGGAGCCAGCTCTCCGGGTCTGGTCTTCTGTGCCCTACCAGATGAGCCCTGGGTTGCCTTTGAGTGGTAGCAGCACACTTCAGAAAACCAACAGACCGCCGTGCCGCACACCACGCGAGCCTCCTACGTGCTGTCTCCACAACACTCACGCCAAATGAGGTATGTACAGAACAAGTTTCAAGCACGGAGTCCTTATTGTCCGCAGTCTCGGTTTCCAGGTTCCATAGTTACTTTGACTGCTTCACAGCTAGGGCTACAGCTCAGTGGCACAGCACTTGCCTAGCACAACTGAAGCCCTGGGTTTGATGCCCAAAAAGAAAACATTAATAACTTTTAAAATATGGGACATATCTTAACGTGTGCAACTAATTAGAGCCAGATAATATGCTAACAACTTCATATTCAAGCTAAAGTCTTTATTTCATAGGTTAGAAATGTCACACTGGCTGTGTGATCTATACAGAAACATAGCTTAGACACCAGCCATCAGGTCGCTTTAAGATTCCGGAATTTGAACCCTAGTGTTAAGGTTCTGTCTACTTGCTACCTGCAGTGGGCAGCTGCCTGACACTTACAAAATGCTTTAATTTCTCACTGTGAAAATGATGCGTCAGTAACACACAATGGGTTCTAAGTGAAGGAACACATGTAAAGTTGTCCAAATAATCCAGTGTGCTACAAGAACTTGATGGACATTAGCTGTTTTGGCCCCAGTAGCCTCTGGCGTAGTCCGGGGGGACGGGCTGTCCCAGCCTAACACTGTTCTCTGCCCTTACTCCTGCACCCCTGGGACAGCCCACGTGCTGCGTCTCCTCACAGCTGAATAGTGAGGACATGGAACTCCCGATCTGTTCCCACAGGAGGCTCTGCCCGCAAGACACTGCTGCAGGACATGCTCCAGTCAGCGCAAGAATGACTGGCACTGTTCCAGGCAATCTGCAGCATGACAGATCAATCACCAAGACATGCTTTTTAAGAAGATTAAGGACAACATAACATGAAAGATGCAAAGGAGGTTACACCATCATCCAAAATTAACCCTAAAAACCAACTAAAGGGAAAAGCAAGCTCTTCCTTGCCTAAGGTTCCTATTTGTGTCAAAATGTACTTACTGCTTTATACACAAATCACAAAACATTTATTCTTTATTATGCTTCATGTGATAAACATTTTCCCAGTCTCAGGACAATAAATTTTAATTATAGTAGGCTTGTGCTGTTCATAAATGCAATTTGTTCAGTTGTTCAAGAGCAGCGCCCATCATAGGAAGTGGAGGCAGACAGGCATCAGCACAGGTGGGCGGCAGCTGCTCTGAGGATGGTGCCGAAAGTCCTAGTGGAGGTGGCATTGCAAGCCATCTTTTCTCTACCCTTAGGACACAGGTGCTTCAGGGCCGTGGCTTCAGCCCTATGCTCTTTCTAAGAACTGGCAAGTTGCCAGGGGAAGCTGGCTAAAGTCTAGGCAGGCCAAATGGCTCAGCGGTTTGCAAAGGGCGGAAGTAGTGTCAGGCTGGTATTTGTGGGAACTTCCACTGGGAATGAACTCAGCAGGGAGGGTTCCGTAAGCACACTGATCCCTGAGTGAGGGAAGGCCTGCCTGTCCTCCAAGCTGATGGCTAAGGGACTCTTTGAAGACCAGCAGAGAAAATGAAACTGTCAGAGCGTGTCCCTCCCCTCTGCCTCTCTGTCTCTGTCTCTCTCTGTCTGCCTCTGTCTCTCTTTCTCTCCCCTCCCTACTTATACTAAATATCTTTGTGATATGTTTCATATAAGCTATCCTCTCCACATAGGTGGCCCAACAACACTCTCCCTCAAAGAACTGGGGTCCCACAAAGTGCCCCCGTCATCATTCACTGCTGAGTTTTCATCACAAAGTCATCCTATCACACACTACATCTGTAAGGTCAAGACAATGTGGTACCCTTGGTACGTGAGGCAGGAGAGTGGAAGGAAACAGACCTCCACGGGGACTCCACTGGGCCAGCAGCACCTGAGGTCTGCTTCCAGGGCTTTGCCTACTCTAGTCGGCAATGTCCACCATGGAAGGAGTCCTGAAAGTCACTCTGGGTCTGGGCTTATCTATCAATAGCTTTGAACAAAAATCAATATGCTCTTTTTTTTCCTATAAAAAGCCTATTGCTAAAATACTGCAACTGGAAATTAATCACATTCTTCTATTTTCATGTTTGAAAAATACAAATTGATTCAATATATTGTGAATGGTGTTTTCCTCAAATACAAATAAAAATAATCTTCAGGTGAAAGAAATACGTGGCCATTACTGTGCTGATTTAGTAATGGTTCCTGTTATTAAAGAGCCGAAAGGCCCCCAACAAATGAGTCTAGAAGCACAGAAATGAAATTGGGCTAAGATGCAGGTCATATTACTAAGCACTGAAAAGTCATACTGAAGGTCATTTACAAACTGAATCCAGGGAAAATGTTACTTAGGTTCTTAAAAAAGAATTCCAAGCATGGGAGCACAGAATTTAGGGTTCACAGGCCACTCTGTGTCACCTCTGTAGCCTGAGGCACCTCCTGCTCAGGGCCGGGAAACCTCTGTCCAGGAGAAATGCTTCGTGACTGTTCATTAGACACAAACGCAGCTAATGGGAGACAGGAAGCCCACAGTGGAGAGACCTGCATGTGGCACACACGCTACAGTACTGGCTTCCTCAGCACCGAGTTTGGAATAAAAAATCTTTAGCTTGTTAAGGTTTACTTTACCACCTTCTGATTACATATTATCATTAGATGGTAAATAATTAATTGGAAAGTGCTAATCAATGTTAGCTAGCATTTATCTCTCCCATAAATCAATCAATTCTGTTTGATTATGTAAATTTTTGGCTGCTTTCTGCAAGTACTGTGAGATTCCCAAGAAGTTGAGATATGAGACCAACATAGCAGAAAATCAATGCAGAAGTATCTTCAACAAGTACCTTGTCCTTAGAAACACATCCTTGGTACACAAGGTGCTGAGCGCTGGGGAATTCTGGAAGAAGTGTTCCTGTTTTTGAGCTAAGAGAATATTTACGTGTGAAACCACCCTATAATTCAGAACAAAATAAAAAGAAATAAGTCACTATCAGCTATATGTATCCCAAAACACAACAATTGCAAGACAGAACCCGTAAGATTCCATTCTTCCTCACCTTGCAAATCACGAGAAATCAGGAGTTTCAGATGACCTGCTACACTATATTCTGAGCAGGGTAGGCATTTCTGCCAAATTGTTTCTAAAACGTAAATAGTTTCATACTCAGAACATTTTTTCTATCACTCTGGGCTTTGCTTTTGGACTGCTGTCAAGTTCACAACTTTTAGAGATTACAATTCACATTTTTAAGTAACAGGAATTTTGGAAGATTTACCTTTGGAATTATTAAAATGTTCTACCTTACAGTATTGAAGATCAAGAATTTTCAAATCCAGGAATATGTCTTTTATTTTGCTCTTTATTTATGTTTTGTGTTCCTTACACAAGAGATAACATGTAATAAAAATAAATAACAGAAAAGAGGGAAGGTTTTCTTTTGTTTTTGTTTTTTGCAAAAGAGAAGGGTACCAAGAAATGAATGGGGGAAGAGGAGTGGGAGCAGAAGTGAGAAGCACAGCATGCCTGTGTGCCTGCTCTGGACCTGCACGAGGAGGGTGAACATTACATGTCACAAGCCGGTACTAATACATGGAACAATTTTTACAATAACAAAACGAGTTGCCAAAGCCAGTCTCTTTACAGATAGGTAAGAGATGGGCTCTCATCTCATCATTTCTCATGAGATGATGAGAAATAAATTATTCAGCCTTAGAGGAATGAAGTAATTACTGATACAAGTGTGACAGGACTCTATTCTGGAATAGATATTCTGATTTCCAAACTAATGGTCTAGATGTTTACGTCATTATTCCCCCACTCTAGATTTAGGTATTTGTGTTCTTTCACGTTTCTCAGGAAAAGCACACCTCTCGCAGTTTTCAGAATATGAGCAAGCTCGAGTAAACACTCTCTAGTGTTGCAAAGCAAGTGCCTGACAGAACCAGGGCTGCAGCCAGCTGTTCTGACTCCACAGCTCAAGCGAGCTGAGCCACACCAAACGCAGCGTGACTGTGGTGAAGGAAGCAGGACGCCACTGAGCAGAGTGCAGCTCCGTTCTTTCCCACACCGTCCTCGCTCTGGGTGTGTTTCCTTGCTTATCTCTGTCATACTAAATATGTTAATTGGACACAGGATTTACTACTGGGACAGACAGGCAGGGTTCCACCCTGTCTAGTCATTCACAGCCTGTGTGGGAGAGCACAAGGGAAGGATGCCTTCAGAGTTCTTAGATGACAGATACTTTAGAGGATCTCTTTTCTTACTGACTGATTTCATATAGGCCTTTGATATTTTATATTAAAACAGTATAAATCTACTGTTCCAAATTAGATTATAATTTTAGACTCAACTTCTATTTTCAAATAGGACAGAGCTATTCTGATTAAATAATTTTTAAATTAATAAAGATGTTATATAGGTATAAACTGATACAATAGCATAGTGGGTCCTAACCCACTGTAAAAGATCTTAATAACTAAGCTGGGCAAGAATTCTTTATGTAGAAAAACTGCCATTTAATATTAAAGGAGAATAGCATCCTTCTTAAAGACTGAATAGCATTTCATTGTGCGCATGCACACACACACATGCACACGCGCACACACACACGTGCACACACACACACACGCAGAGTTTCTTTGTCCACTCCTTTATCAGCAGGCAACTGGGCTGTCATGATTTCTAGTAGCTCTTTGACCAGTATGAGAGCACACGTACCATCACACAGTGACAATTCTGCCATTTCCATAACACCTATGAAATTGCAACTTATCACACTAAATGAAATAAGCTATCCATGGAAATAAAACAGCCTGAGTTTACTTCTGCATGGAATCTTTAAAAAATAAGTGAAATAAAACAACACAGTGAATCCCAGAGACTGGGAAGAGAAGCAGAAGACGTAAGCCAAAGGAAGGCCACGCGACTAAAAGTGCAGGACGGGCAAGTCAGGCCCCCACCGTGCAAGGGCTGTAGATGGTGTGTGTGGGACTCCAGCTCCATGGGGAGGCCTTAGCTGTTCTCGGCACAAAGGAAACGGCCCCAGGAGGTGGCAGGCAAGCTTGTTTTCCCAGTACGATAACCGCCTACTAGGTAGTAGGCGTATCTCATAGCAACATGCGTGCACCTTAACTGAACACAATCAGATTTGGATTTTTATAAGGTGAGAGAACAATTAAGGTACTCTTAGCAGAAGATGAGTAAGTGTAGTCACTACTGAAATTACCCCACAAGAAATATTAAAGAGAGTCCTATTGGCGAAGTGAAGAAACAGCCAGGTGCAGGAGGTTGAGGCAGGAGGATCACCACAAGTTCAAGGCTAGCCTAAGTGGCATAGTGAATTCAAGGCCAGCCCCCACTATACAGTGAGACCCTGTCTCAAAAACCCAAAGAAACAAAAAACAAAAAGGAAGAAAGACATGTAAGAATAGTCATCTGTACCTCAGAATCACACAGAGGGAGAAGCAGGGTGCAAAAGCTCGTGTCCTGCAACAGCAGCTACAACTCTACTCTCTGTCATCTACATGATTTAAGTAGTGCAATAGGAGAAAAACAGGGAGTAGGACAAAGATAGCATTATTTTAACTTTGGTTTGTAATTTTGCATGCTGTATTCTATGTAAATTAAGTCTAATTTTTAAATTTAAGTCATTTTTAAAATCTACTAGTGTATGTTTTTGGATATAAAATGTATAAAGGTAAATTATGTGACAAAAATGACGAGTAAGGACAAAAGTGAACTGTAGCAGTTTTGTGCGCTATTGAAGTGAAGCAGGTGTACAGTAGCCCCTCGCTATTTTGCAATTCGACTTTCATGGCTCACTGTTTTGTGGGTTTTCAAAATGTATTAATCTAAATTATCTGTCATGGATTTTTCGCTGTACTGCAGATTTTGCAGCACCACACAGTACACATGTTGTTAAAATTACATAAGTTTATGACTTTAGAAAATGGTTAAGAACATGAGAAGGGTTTTTTAAAGTATGGGAAAGGTTTATAAGAGTGTGGAAAGGGTTTATAAGTCTTAAAATAGATATAAACACTAAAATAAATCTAACACTGTTACTTCACCGATTTTCACTCATCGTGGGGGTATTTGAAATGTAACCTCTGCGATTCTGAGGGGCCACTGTAAATCCAATCAGAGCATTGTAACTTAGTACTAAATGTAGCACCCATGATAACCACAAAGATATAATTATATAATACGCATGAAAGGAATTAGGAAGGGAATTAAAATATTTTATTACCAAAAAATCAAGCAAACATGAGAGAAGCTAAGCAAAAGATAGTAAATGTGGGGCCAGGGAGCTGGCTCAGTGGAATAAGCGCTTCCCTGGCAAGCGCAAGGGCCTGAGTTCAATCCCCAGTTCCGCCAAGAAAAATACATAAAAAAATGTTTAAAAGATAGTAAATGAGAGATAACTTTTAAAAGCATATAGAAAACCTATGAAAATAATACAAGAAGCTTTCCCTATCAAGGACTTATTAACTACATTTCATTAAATTAAATGTAAATGGATTTTCTAAAAACATAAGAAATTGGCAGAATTAGCTCCCTATTTACCCTTTGGGCTTCTCCCACAGGAGAAAAATTTGATATTTAAGCTTGTGTGCCTGACTTACTTCACTTCAGATTACGGTCTCAGTATGCATCCATTTACCTGAAACTGTCTCATCTTTATCCTGTCTGGCACAGTAGTAGTCCATTGTACATAAATACTACTTTTTCTTTATCCGTTCATCTACTGATAGGCACATGGGCTGTTTCCAAAATGTATATATTGTGCTGCTATAAAAACGGGTATGGACATGTCTCTGTGGTTTGACACTTTTAACTATTCCAAGAAGATGCCTAGAAGGTGAATAGCTGGTCGAGTGGAACCTCTAATTTTAGTTTTTGTAAGAAACTCCACACTGATTGCCACAGTGGTCCTACCAACTCACACTTGCACTAACAGTGGGAAGGATTCCTTTATCCCCATAACCTGGCTAGCATTTGTTACTGAGATATATATATATATATATATATATTTGGTTGTTGCAGGGTTTCACTATGCAGCTCAGACTCCTGGTGATCCTACTGCTTTCAGCCTCCCCAGTGCTGGGATTACAGTCATGCGACGCCATGCCTGGACTCTGGCCAGCTCAGATAGCCCTGGGGGTGGGGCTGGCATGGATTGTGATGCTGGGGATCGAATGGGGAGCTGTGGTCCCCGTGCTTGCCTCAGCCTGCCCAAGCAGCCGCTTTAGTCCACTGAGTCATCTTGCTGGCCCTGACTGACTTCTTGATGATAACCATTCTTTCTGGAATAAGATGAAATGTTTTAATCTGCATTACTCAAATGACCAGTGATGTTGAACATTTTTTTCATATATTTATTTGATAGAGTCAACGGTAAATTCTATCATACTTAGGAAAGACTACCAATGTTTCTCAAGCTTTTCCAAAATCTTGAAAGAGAACTTTGTAATTCATTCCCTAAGGCCAGCATTCCACTGATACCAAAGGAAAAGACACTACAAGAGAACTGTCAGCCAATCTATTTTATAAACTTTCAAGTAATCAACATACAAGCAAACTAAACTTACTGAAATATTAAAAAGGTTATACACTATGACCCAATGGGACATATTCTGGTTCAATATATGAAAAGCAATCAATATTATACACCACAAGAAAAGAATGAAGGTAAAAATAAAACACTTGATCATGTCAATTGATGCTGCAAAATGATTTGATCATATCCAGAACTGTAGCACAATAGAAAACTAAAAATATAGAAGCAAATTATATCAAAAACAAAAGACATATGTGAAAATCTCACAACAAATATAATATTTAATGATGAAAAACTAATAACTTTTTCAGTAAGACCAGAAACAAAGCAACTGTGTCCATTTCCATTAATCCCATTCATAGTACATAGTACGAGAAATCCTAGAGAGAGTGTTTAGGCAAGA